AAAGCCGAGGTAAATGTAGGCCTTCCATGAGGCCGAGGTAATGTCCGATATGTCTCTCGATGGCCACGCGACCGAGACAAGAGTGTTACGTCTCTCCAAGGCCACGCGGCCGAGACAATGTCCATTGTAGGCCTTTGGCCGAGGTAGTGAACGAAAATGTCTATTTGTAGGCTATGCAAAAGCCGAGGTAATTGTAGGCCTTCCATGAGGCCGAGGTAATGTCCGATATGTCTCTCGATGGCCACGCGGCTGAGACAAGAGTGTTATGTCTCTCGAGGGCCACGCGGCTGAGACAATGTCTTTTGTAGGCCTTTGGCCGAGGTAGTAAACGAAAATGTCTATTTGTAGGCTATGCCAAAGCCGAGGTAATTGTAGGCTTTTACAAAGCCGAGGTAATGTCCAATCAGTCAATTGTAGGCTTTTACAAAGCCGAGGTAATGTCCGATATGTCTCTCGAGGGCCACGCGGCCGAGGCAAGAGTGTGTTATGTCTCTCGATGGCCCAACGGCCGAGACAATGTCCATTGTAAGCCCCGCGGCTGAAGTATTAAATATTATGACAACTTATCTACGAAGAATTACTGGACGTCGGAGAGGAAATCCAACTGATCAAGAATCAGGATGTTAACTGATTACTATTTTTCTATTGCAGTAACATGTATTTTTTTTAAGGTTTTGCTTGTTGTGTTTTAGACATGTGATTTGGTATGTGTTTAACGCATTGTTCTAGCGAGGAGCGGATTAATTGGGGGTTTGTTCTACTCTGATGGTGTCTCGTACCCAAGCGCACATGCTAACGTGTTCCGATGATATCGCCATTATTGATGTAGAGGGGGGATTTGTAGTGATTTTGCAGATGGTAGCTGAAACTCGAACGCAAATGTTCACTGGATGTTTCATGACTACTGCCATCTTTGTAATTTCTTATTTGGGACTTATACGTTCCTTATCCAGTTTCCTTGGGACGAGTCATGCTTTGATCATATATCGATGTCAGCTATTTTTGGGTGAATGTTATTAGTGGTACTGCAAGTGACTAGTGATTACATAATGCCAGGGGGATGATTTTATTTCAGGTGGCTATGGCCAGTAACTCTGTTGGATGTAGAGCAGGAGTTTTGTGATTTTTAGACAATTTATGTTACATATTGTGTGGTTGCCGGGACGTCAACAAAAATAATAATCCGACGTGTAACGGAGTGGAAGCGACGAAGACTGCAGTACAACAGATTAAAGGTCTTTGAAGGTTTATCCTGGTTTGAAAATGCCAACCGGCAAATAGGCGAAACATTGGCAGGTAATAGTCAGACGGGAGATGGAGAAAAATCAGCCCACGGGGTATTTAAACGGCCGACTGATTTATTTGGCCCTTCTCCTATCTGGTGGTCGCTCCGGCTTGTTACGGTAAAAACGCCCTGTTGTCGTTGTCGACTGCACTTGGTCGCAATGTACAGAATGTACAGGCGTGTCAGATCGAATGGCTGGGCGTCGCTAGATTTGGCTCGGCTCAGGGTACGTTTCCTTTGGTTAGATTTAATATTAATTGTCATTTGCATTCTTGCCAAGAAATAGTTAGATGGTAAATTGCTGTATATTTGAGGTTTTGTTCCAGCACGTGGTCGTTTATGTCGTTACTTTTGGCCATGCTGATGTGAAGTTAAATAAAATTATGTTCAACGTTGTATTCATAGTTACAGTTGTTTCCTTCAGCTTAAGACTTCTAGTAGTTAGTGTGCCTAGTTTACTAGTTTAGTTTATTCGTTACCTGGGCTATATTAGACTTTACTCAGAAGATCTCTTGCCTGGACTAGAATATTCTTGTTTCTAGTCCCCACCTAAACGAACTATCTTTCTTTTATTTTCATCTTGGTACTTAGGGCCTTCTCCGCTTTATTACATAAGAACACACACACACTCTCTCTCTCTCTCTCTCTCTCTCTCTCTCTCTCTCTCTCTCTCTCTCTCTCTCTCATCAAACACACACACAGAGAGACACACACAAACACACACATATATACACACTCACAGACGTGGGCGCACACATTACCTGTAAACTTGGTGAAACATATACAGATAATCAATGCAAATGAAAATGTAAATGTTCCGTTGTTTGTTACAGCTAATTTCTGAAAGTTCTTCACTGATTGCTTTAAAATTTTGACACAACGCTGTATTTAAATACACGCGTGTTTTTATAGAAAAGTGTCCCACAAAGCACGAACTACATAGCTCCAGCAATGATCATTTCGGTTTTTTTCACGCCCCGGAGCAGGTTTTTATTTCCACTGTTTGTTGACTCACAGAACTGCATAAAGCTGTATGCTGAAAGTTTTTCACCATTTGCTTTCAAATTTTCACACAAGGTTGCATTCGAATATGCGCGTTTTTGAAAGCTTTCCGCCGAGTTAAAGTTACCGCCGAGAGCATCTCCCGCGCCGCTACGGAGCGGGGCTAAACTAGATGGCTGGGACTCACGAGCAGAAGCTACTGCATCTCCTGCAGCTTCCTTTATTTTATTTGCTCGTGAGTCCCATCCATCTAGTTGAACCACATTCCGCGCCGAGATACTCTCGGCCGTGGCGGTATAGTCGCAGGAAATAGGTCCGCAATTTACATGTGACTGAGGCCCGGTTAGGGTATATTTTCGGCCTCGATAATTTGGGACCGTTATTCGGAGGATAGCCGATGTATCGATCAAGTGGACACTGTGACTAAACAGAGTTTCCATGTGTAGAAGAAACTGATACAGTTGTGAGTGAGCAGAGAGTTAGGGCTACATTCAACTCTCGTGAAAAAGGTGGGCAGACTTCATACATTCATTTATACATCCATTCATACATTCATTCATACAATCAGTCATACTTTCAGTCATATCCTGAGTCATTTAAGATTTCTCTTATTCATAATAACAATAACACAGTTACATAAGACAACATGATTTCGTCTATAACATGTAATATAGAATTCAAAATATGCGTTCATTATCTCAGCTAAAAGAAATATATGCGTATACTAATACAGTAAGAGAATATCGTTACTAGAAATAAATCACTGCTCACAGACCGAAATTAGTTAACATGCACTGTATATGTATCTAGTGTAATTTCATTTTAACATTAAATGAAATATAAACTAACGATCTGGGAATCCCTGTATGACCAGCTGTGAGCATCACTGTATGACCAGCTGTGAGCATCACTGTATGACCAGCTGTGAGCATCACTGCATGACCAGCTGTGAGCATCACTGTATGACCAGCTGTGAGCATCACTGTATGACCAGCTGTGAGCATCACTGTATGACCAGCTGTGAGCATCACTCTATGACCAGCTGTGAGCATCACTGTATGACCAGATATGAGCATCACTGTATGACGAGCTGTGAGCCTCACTGTATGACCAGATATGAGCATCACTGTATGACCAGCTGTGAGCATCACTGTATGACCAGCTGTGAGCATCACTTTTGAGACGCCGTATGCCATGTATGTTATGTATCATGTATGCCTGTATGTAGGTATATGTACTGTATGTAGCCATGTAAGCATGTATGTAGTATGTATGCTGAGTATCAAAGTCTCGTATGTGCTGTAGTTGTATGTATGTATGTATGTATGCAAACACACTGCATCCTGTGAGACCTTTCATGAATAGTAATATAACAATCACTTACTTGTATGTATGTATCTGTCAAAAGTATGTATGTCTGTATGTATGTATGTCTGTATGTATGTATGTCTGTATGTATGTATGTCTGTCTGTCTGTATGTATGTATGTCTGTATGTCTGTATGTATGTCTATGTCTGTATGTATGTATGTATGTCTGTCTGTCTGTATGTCTGTCTGTATGTATGTCTGTCTGTCTGTATGTATGTATGTATGTGTCTGTCTGTCTGTCTGTCTGTATGTATGTCTGTCTGTCTGTCTGTCTGTATGTCTGTCTGTCTGTCTGTATGTCTGTCTGTCTGTATGGATCTATGTGTGTGTGTATGTATGTATGTATGTATGTATGTATGTATGTATGTATGTATGTATGTATGTATGTATGTATGTATGTATGAATGTATGTATGTATGCATGCATGCATGTATGCATGCATGTATGTATGTATGTATGTATGTATGTATGTATGTATGTATGTATGTATGTATGTATGTATGTATGTATGTATGTATGTATGTATGTATGTATGTATGTATGTATGTATGTATGTATGTATGTATGTGTGTGTGTATGTATGTATGTATGTATGTATGTATGTATGTATGTATGTATGTATGTATGTATGTATGTATGTATGTATGTATGTATGTATGTATGTATGTATGTATGTATGTGTATGTATGTGTATGTATGTATGCATGCATGCATACATGTATGTATGTATGCATGTATGTATGTATGTATGTATGTATGTATGTATGTATGTATGTATGTATGTATGTATGTATGTATGTATGTATGTATGTATGTATGTATGTATGTATGTATGTATGTATGTATGTATGTATGTATGTATGTATGTATGTATGTATGTATGTATGTATGTATGTATGTATGTATGTATGTATGTATGTATGTATGTATGTATGTATGTATATGTGTATGTATGTATGTGAGTATGTATGTATGTATGTATGTATATGTGTATGTATGTATGTGAGTATTATGTATGTATGTATGTATGTTGATCACGCGTCTATCACATGTGTATGTGGAATTATATACTGCCGGATATATACAACATATACACTGCATGGTCCTCCACATTTTATTCATACAAATAGTGCCCACTTTAGCCATCCTCGTTAAGTTCATTCTGGCGAGAGAAAAAAATCACCAGCGTCCAGTCTCCGGCTCATTCGCAAACTGTCCTACTATGTTATGATATGATAAGCGTACTCGAGCTCTTCTAGTGGCTTCTGCGACAGTTTGCACTCTCCGCCGCTCTCTGTGTATGGTGGGGGAGCAAGATAGAAATCAGATCCTATACTTGGTAGATCATAGGTATGTTCCACGGGTGTAGGCAATACTTTTTCTGTTGATGGCGTTTCGGAACAAATCGTTGACGGGTTGTCCTGTTTTTGTTGCTCGAATGTTTTTCGGCGTCTCACTTGTCGGATGAAGCAAAACAGTAAGATCAGAAGCAACAGCAGCAATGGAATTCCTACAGCCAAACCTACAATTAGACCAATCTTGAACATCGCCTGCGGTATTTGTAGGCACTGACATACAGTCAGTTTCTGTTGCTAAAGTACTAGTGGTTTCTGAAGTGCTGGGTATTACTAAAGTGGTTTCTTCAATATAGGCATCCCCTTGGCATCGTATAAAATTATCTTGGGTTCTTTCAAACTCTGCCCCGCACGTGAGCCTAATGTTGGACATCTCCTTTGAGGAATTGACCTTCATAAACACTCTCCCAGTGTGGTTACCTTTTACTGACATACTGATTATAGCCACGTTTGATTCCGATGTAAAAAGCATCCGATTAAATAAGAAATCTCCATCATCGCATGTTAAATTCGATTTTACATCTGGATATTTGCCATCCTGAAAGAGAAATTCCTCGGGGCAACGGCTACTGCTATTCATGAAACGTCGGAGATAAAGAGCAACAACGCTCAAAGACGAATTGCACTCAGTTTGCACCACACAGCTAAAATTAGAGTCCTTCACATCAGAATTATTAAAATAGCTGTTACTGTCTATGTAGACGACGTCTGGGTACTGGAATGTAACGTCTTTTGTAAGATCGTTCAACAGACTGACACTGGCACAACCAAACTCCACAAAGGAATATGAAGTTAAATCCGGGTAGATCTTCTGGTCGCACTTTCCCAGCGAGGAGTATCGTCTGACTCCACTAAACGTGGCTTGCGAGAACCCGGTGAATCTTCTAGCCACGTCTTCCATGTCTACGTCACTTGCAAAGATACAATCGGCATCAGGGTCTACGGTACAGCAGCTGTTGTAAGAAGCTGTTCTATTGCAACCCCTATAGAGAACAAGATGTAATATCAAGTATGACTATCAAGTATATCTGTTATTATTGATACACAAATGATACAATTATTGATGTTCGAATTTTAAGTATGTCTAGGTGATATAAAGATCAAATTTGAGGTGCGACATTTTTAAATTAATAGCGAATAAGACATAGAAGACGGGAATAAACTCCAGTGGAAAGTCTTAGTTGTCAATCTACTCCTGGATTTTATCTTGAAACAGAACTTGATTTTGCATGCACATCAGTTTTACAGATCTAACTTATTTGTTTGCAGATTGTCGCTTCCTTGTCTCTCAGACAGATACACTGACCTTGAAGGACTCACCCCTAATTAGTAGCCTCTTACGACCTGTTTTTTGGAGCGGGACAGTGGAACTATTATTTTTGTTCTTTAGAACGGAGCCCTTGAATTAACACGCGGTAGTTGGTAACACATAAAGTCCCGTCAATTAAAAGTAGTTAGCCTGATTATGACCCCATTACGCGTCGATTGCCGGTAAATCTTTAAAATCTCTGTAGGGTTCTTATCCCTTTAGGTCGTGAGTGCAGAGACTGGCCAGCTGGTGCTGCGGTATCTGAAGTTCAACAAATGATTCATGACAATTTCCACCAAAGTGATGTAATTATCTATAATAAGATCTCTATGTGTTGAGGGGCAGATGAAGTGCATAGGAGTTCAAAGCAAAATCGAAAAGACGTCGCTTGGTGCAGCAAAGCCTGGCATATGATATCACAACGTCTAGTTTGAGAATCGAGGTGAAGGCAGTCACTGCTGCTTTTCGCTGGCTTGGGAGTCAACTGTACACATGCCGTGATTGTAACTGATTTGCACAGCATGTTGAGAATGGTGGAGACAGGCATGCTTTGTGCAGAGTGGCAAGCATCAATTCAGAGGTCCTGGGTAGTTAGCATTCTTTGGATATTTCCTCCAGGTGATATCGGAGTGTTGGGAAATGAGCAGGCAGATAAACTGGCCTGTTCTTCACCGCTAGGTGGTGAACTGATGTATGACAAGCTGGATGTTGTGAAGGCTGTTTAGGAGCGATTGAACAGTGCGGAGACACAGATAGATCCTTACGGTCTGGGGAGAATAGCGTTGCCAGGAGTTACACAGGGATCTGGCCGGCGCTCAACACTCAGGAGAAAGGCGAGACGGATGTACAATCAGACAGTTACTGATGCAATCGGAATTGGAACTCTTCGCCTGCTGTTGAAGATGGTAACGAAGCGCTTATGGGGGTGTACCTAGTGCTGTGATTTCGATTCTTAATACAATATTTAACTCTAAACATGTATTTATGGTACCTTATACCAGATACGACAACGTCATGAAAATTGACGTTCACTTTACCTACTTTAAGTTCTTTTTAATAAAACGGCAATTGACTGATATCATGCAGTGGCGGGCCAGCCTGTTCGATCGTTTCCCTACTTGTCAAAACATTTTAGATGTACAATAAATGAAACTGTGTCGTTGAGCAAGTGAGATTTACTTTGCAAATATGCCCACGGTAAATATGTTTGTTAAGTGAGGCGAGAAAGAGAGTTCTTCAAGCGCTAAGCAGCGCCATTACTGATGCGGGCTTTGTGTTCATCTTGGACAGCCAGTAAATTGGTGATAAATTATGTATGATTTAACTGACGAATCGCCCATGTGTCACCGAAGCCCTAACGAGAAGCAAAAAATAGTAGCAGTGCACCCTACCAGACGTATCGTAAGAGGCGACTGAATGTAGGCTTAGGCAACCTCATCCTGTAAAACCAATAGCCACAAAAGCCAACAAACCATTATTAAGTTGAAAAGCGAAACAAGAAAAAGCCACCCAACCAAGATGAAGGGAGGCTCCTATAGTAGACAAAGTATGACACGGTATGGAGAAAGCCGAAAGGAGTCCGGATCGTCGATCGTACCTCCTTTCCCTTAGGATAATCTCAGGAGTTGGCACCTGGAACGTTAACATGTTCTACTATGTAGGAACAACAATAGGAGTTGTAAGGGAAATGACAAATTATAGGAATACTATTTTAGGACTGTGTGAAACTAAATGGACCGAGGCGGGGAAAAGTATTCTAAATCAGGGTAAACGATTTTGTTCTCACGACATATAAAGAAAAAATCTCACCACAGTAAAGGAGTGGGCCTGATACTATCGAAAGAAGCAGAGAGGGTACTAAAAGAATCCAAAGCTGTGAGTCCTAGAACAATAAGATCGTCATTCAGAACAGCGAAACAGAAGGTGAACATGTTGGTAATACAGCGTTATGCACCAACAAATAATAAAGATGCATCTGTTAAAGGAGAATTTTGCATGCAACTTCAAAATATTAAGAATAATGAGAGAAAGGGCCCAAAAAAAAAAATGTTGACTGGTGACTAAGATAGGATCAGATAACACAAGTTAGGAAGACATTGTGAGAAAACATAGTCTATAATTAATGAATGAAAATAGAGAATTATTCACATATATTTAGCAGGAAGCCAGTAGTTATTGGTAAAAAATAGATAGGTAAATTTGTTAGCCCTCCAGTACATCACACAGAGCGATAAACACCCGGTGACACAAAGTTCCACCATGTGGATGAGGATCATCCGTGAAGAATTCACGGAAGCTGCGTTTAACTGTCTGGCTATATTGCGGCCCCTGGCAACAACCAGGGTGGGCTTCAAGTTAAAGAAAAATTACATCCCACAAGTGGATGACTAAGATTTTATTGATGGAAGTATTTTCCTCTATAACAGAATACACAAGGCAACATGGCAATCACCAGGCCATAAGACAAACAATCAAATTGATGACCTGTGTATTTAGAAAAGCGTAGGTCATCCGTTTATGATGTTATGGTTTTCAAAGGTGCCGATGTATTTACTGACCATTTTCTGTTGGCAAGTATAATCAAGCTGTAACTTTAAGGATATATAGGATCTTATAATCATAGAAACCAGTATAATGTAGGTAATATCAGGGATAAAGAAGTTGATAAATAATTTTCAGTTATTCTTTAATAAGTATCAGGTGTTACAATAGTTAGCTGAAGATGTAAGCACTGAAGTCTGCTGGGATCAGATCAAGGAAATCTGCAATGAATCTTGTGGTGTAGACGTCCTTGGCAAGAAAGAAATAAAACACAAAAGCGGGGGAAAAAACCAGAAACCATTAAAATGATTAAAGAAATGAAAAGTAAAAATGCAGACTTAAACATGATCAAAACTAGAGCTGCTAAAGCTAGAGTTCAGAAAAATACATATAAGCCAATAGAAAGCTAGGAGGCGTATAATGTCAGATAAAGTGACATATTTAAATGACCTAGCACAAGAAGTGGAGAAAGCAACAGCAAAAGGGAAGCAGAGACTTTTACAGTAACAAGGAAATTAATAGCTAAATATAGTCAGCCAACTGGATCAATGAAAAATAGTCAAGGAAAATTACTCACTAACACTAAGAGATCAAATAGACAGACAGGTTGAATATTTTGAAATACTTCTAAATTGACCAGCCTCAAACGTTACTCTAAATCATCATCCTTTAGAAATAGGACTTGATATTAGCTGTGAGATAACATTTAAATAGGAAAATAGAAATTCTATCAATCTTCTGGAGCTCAATCGGACACATGTCTGCAGACATGGATGGCTTGGGAAGCGTTTGAATGTTTTTGGCAGACAGGAAATGCGTGGTCAAGCGTAAATAATTCGGTCTGGCATTGTTCTGTTGAAAAAGACATCCAAGAATGGAAGGACGTGTGGTTGAAGAATTTTACTGACGTATCGTTGTGCATTCACGCTACAGTTGACTCTTTCCGTTGTAACTGATCATTCCCTGTACTATTACATCTCCACCAATGTGCAGCAAAGCTTTATCAGCACAGTTTTGAGCTAAACCTTCATTTCGCCTACAATAGACACCACGCCGTCTGTCACGACACTGCAACAAAGAGAAAGATTCGTCACTGAGCAAGACACGTCTCTAATGGTTGTTGCCCAGTGACGACGTTGGTTGACCCTAAGAAGTCGATTTCGGCGTTGGCGATGCGAAAGAACAGGTCCTCGATGTGGTCATCGTGCTTAACTCAAAGGTCGTGCAGTCTCTTCCAAACAGTTTGATCAAACACACTGATGTCCTGGTGACAATGCCTGCGTAATTGGGGAGGCTGTTGTAAACCTGTCTTTGAGGCGAAGAAGCCGAATAGAGCGATTCTCCTCTGCTGTTGTCACTCTTAGTCTTCAACCGAACCAGTGGCTTGGAACTGGTACTCAAGTCATCTGATAGTACTATGATGAACGTTTAAATGCCTGGAACTTTACTTTGTCCTTCTCCTGCCTTAAATCGGCCAATAACAATATTCCTTAAATGTATCGATAAAGGCGCTATTGGTTTCTGCTTGCAATTGAACTGAATGATTTTGGTGTAGCGTTATCCTTATATAGTGTTTCAATTGCGTAGGTAGGGAATAGTGTTCACCCCAAATTATGTCCTTTACTCGTGCGCGTATCATGAACTATGCCCACAAGTATGGTCCTAAACCCAAGTGATCACTGCGTTTAAGCGATTACAAAAACCCATGCAATTCACTCCTAAATATCCACTGGACACGGTAAACAACATTTTAGTGCTCTTTACGTACTCGAGTATGATATTTTATTTTTCTAATTAATAAAGACCCGCAGTATGCTTAGTTTTTCAAGGAAATACATAAAACAATGGTAGAGTTGTTAAAGAACATGTTTACTGCAACCCATCCTTACTGCAGAGACAGCATTATTTCTAAAATGATATGGCATAAGCGCCATACACCCTCTGATAGTTTCACTACCTTTAAAAAGTCCTTTACATACAGTTTGCCGTACTATTTTTAAAAAAAAAAAATCCCGAATGTCTACACTTTGAATGCTTCCTAACTATTTTCACAGACAATATACCTACATGGACAACGGTGTTGCACCGTAGAAGATCCTACTGATGTACATTCTTCCAACCATTCCCTTGGGCTGGCCATTCCGGCAGTCAATGTCGTGTGGAGTCTGCTGGGAACCTCTGGTGCAGGCAATGGACGAGTTGTACAGCTTCCCGGCAAACGATTGCGTTGGAAGTGACGTCACAAGGTCGCCATACACTAACAGAGCCAGAAGGCAGTACATGCAAAACTTAAGCGTTTCCATGTCTGTCTTTCGTTCTGTTTTGTCTTTTCTGTTTTACAGACACTAGTTCGTTCAACCAAGGTTAATTCACAGTTCGTGGAGTTTATGCATACAGTCATTAATATCAGATAAAAAAAATATAATGAAGGAATCTTGAAAAAAATTAACTTACAAAGATAACCTATTACCCGCATTACAAGAAGCCAGTCTACTTTCTTCCGCCCGGTTCTTGTCGTTTGTGTTTGCGATAGTGTGAAGCTGATGGTTCTGCTTGTCGATTGGATTGATATCTTTTTGTGGGAAAGGGAAAACTGGAGTACCTCAACAAAATGGAAAGTTTGGGGAGAAGAGACGCACAAGGAGACTGACAGTTTGGTAATAGAGGCATGGTAGAACATCTAGAAGAGTGTGAACATACATGATTACTGCATTATAAGAAGATAATAAGCATTGAGATCAGTATTAAATTATAACAAGAAGATAAGCATTAAGATAAGTACCAGATTCTAACAAGAAGATAAGCATGGAGATCAGTACCAGATTATAACAAGAAGATAAGCATGGAGATCAGTACCAGATTATAACAAGAAGATCAGCACGGAGATCAGTACAATTTAATACACTAAGAAGTTGCTTACGCCAGGGTTCTTCAAACCTTTTATACCTGCGACACAGGAGATTAGGAGAAATATTTCGCTAAACGTACGGTCTGCAAAATCGTTTACATACATTAAACATTGAGTGACAAACATAAGATCCCTTTTTTACGCCTTAGGAGCATCGAGCATATGCCAAGAGCACTCATGTTTTTACAGACGAATCGCCACTAGGGCGGTAATGTGGTCAGCAGTAAGCCTGCAGTATTTACTTTCCCAGGACAGCCATTCTGGTACCCATTTTAGGCTGGGTTGACCTACGATGCCCCATAGCCTGAAAAAAAATCCACGCAGCCAGCAGTGGGTTTCGATCGCGGTACTTTGGAATTACGAGTCGGCCTTGCAACGCCTAAACCATGAACGCAGCTAGAGACAAGCATAGGTGTTTAAATTACCTTTAAGAATGCTACAGCACTTAGGCTAAATGCGGTTTTATAGGCGTAAAGTTTATAAACAATGACAGACTGAACACCCCTTTAATTACACTTGTCCTGAATATATAATATATATATATATATATATATATATATATATATATATATATATATATATATATATATATATAAAGGTGAAGTCGGAATATGTCAACTAGCGTCATTGCACACGGCTACAAACCATAAGTGCTCTGTCACCCGTACGTACAGCTGATAAGAAACTGTCCGCCTGTGTCACCGTCCTCACGTAAATCCGTAGCTACAGCGACGTTCCTCCATTTACCATAGAGGGTTAGATCTGGTACCCATTTCCTATAGGCTGGGTGAACCCCTGGAACCGCCCGGTTTCGAACACATGCCGCGTGCTGTAGCGAGTCGCAGCTGAATTTAAAAGCGAGTCTCCTACCCACTGCGCTAAAGCCACTCCCATATATATAAGCGTATATACATCACATTAGTCCTACCTTAGATGATATCTATCGGTGTCCCTCTTTATCTATCAAGTTTCCGGTTCTCTAGCGTAATTGGCTAAACGGATTGAGCGAAGACAGGGTGACGAACTCCTTGTGGTCCGAGTTCAATCCCGGGGGTAGGCAGAAAAGCCACATTTTCTCCCAGATTTACGGTATTTACAATGTAATCAAGGCCGAAAGGTTGCGATATCCATAATACCAAGCCTAAGGGGTAACAATTCATGGCTTCTGGAAACTTAAACAAACAATCTATCATGTTTCACTTACATTAGCTAAAAATTTGTAAAGCTTCAGCTATATCAACACATAGGAAATTACACTTACGATAGTAGCCAAACAATTATAAACTTACGCCTGATTAACCAAACATATATCAAGTAACATCTACTTTAGTTTAAACGTATATGACATTACATCTACCGTTTTCAAAATCAAACACCCATCAATTTGCGTCAAACTCAACTAAACATCCATCACGTTACCCCAGGTTACACTTACCTCACTCAAACATCTATCAAGTTACATTCACCTCAGTCAAACATCCGTCAAGTTACACTTACCTCAGTCAAACATCTATGAAGCTACACTTACCTCACTCAAACATCTATCAAGTTACACTTACCTCACTCAAACATCTGTCAAGTTACACTTACCTTCAGTCAAACATCTATCAAGTTACACTTTCCTCAATCAGACATCTGTCAAGTTACACTTATCTCACTCAAACATCTATCAAGTTACACTTACCTCACTCAAACATCTATCAAGTTACACTTATCTCACTCAAGTTTCGCTTGCCTAAGCGAAACATCTTCAAGTTACACTTACCTACCAACATATATCAAGCTAAGCAGAGCTCAAGTTGATCTATCAAGTTGGCGTACATCACTTAAACCATACGTTACCTTATTTAAGCGTTTGATCAAGTTACACCTTCTTCGATCAAATGCATATTATGTCACAGCTTTTTTCAATTAAACACACATCAAGTCACACCTGCCTCAATAAAATAAAGTTCAAGTAACACCTACCCAGTCAAGTACACATCAAGTGACACCTACCTCAAAGACACATCCAGTTACACCTACCACAATCAAATGCACATCACGTTAGACCTGCCATAATCAAATTCACACCACGTAGGACCTATCTCAATCATATACACATCAAGTTACACCTATCTCAATCATATACACATCAAGTTACACCTATCTTAATCATATACACGTCAAGTAAGACCTGCCTCAATCTTATACATATCAAGTTTCACATACAATAATTAAATACACATGCAGTTACACTGGGCTGTGGTTATACCCTCCTAAAAAAAATATACATTCAATGACACCTATATTACTAAAACACTTATTATGTTTTAGCTTTGGTACTCAAACATCTATCACGGTACACCTATCATGGTCTAACATCTACCTTTTATATTTATCATATCAAAAACCTTCATCAATTTAAATCTCGCACTAAAACAACTGGGCGAGCTTGCTGAGAGGGCCTCGAGCTGGCTCTGGACACAACGAAACGTCGTGGGGGACGGGCCTCAGTGAGGTGGCCCGGGTGTCTAGTAGAAAAGAATGTCGTATCCCTTAAAATCCATCGTGTCCGAATTGTCTGCCAATGTTCCTCTGCCACCTGCCAACAAAGTCCAACATGTGTCCTATAAACCGAACGTAAGCTTGACACTTAGTCGTCCAGGTAAGCTGACTGCTCTAATTATACTACCGCAACGACTTCGTATCTCACAGTACCTTTTGCAAATCACCAATTCGTCCTGTCCCTGTCCGATAACATCCGGTAATACGTGCAGCAGGAGAAAATCAACACTGAGCCTCATGATCTCAGGTGGGTCCACTCCCTGAAAATGTCTAGGAGCTCGTGGGCCGAAACATCTGTCGACGAGAGATCACTTCTACTGACGATTGGTAGACATGCTCCCCTGTGAAGTTTTGTTCTTTTTACTCACCACTGCCATTAATTGCCTTGTCGACTAGCGTGTGTGATCACGCCTCTCCCAAAATTTGCGATCTTTAGAAGCGTATCAGTTCATGTACTTACACCCCTCCACGCCATGACAAGAGACTGTCAAGAATCGTTTCGCGCTGTTTTCTCTGTCTCTTTGTCCACAGATCTCTTCAGTGATCACACAGGTTCAAATTTTATCCTTCACGTAACATGACTAAACAATGATGACTGCTTTGGGGGAAGGGGAGGGGGGGGATCAAAATTCCTTCGTAAAACATTTCCTTCAACTCTCATTAGGCTAGGCTGACTAGGTCGCTTAGGGCAGGGTTTTTTTTTTAATTCTACCTCAATGTGGATTCGAACAATGACGCTCAGCCAGCAGTCATGCATGCTTGTCACTACACCACACGGAAGACCAGACAACATACCTCTCCCAAGAAATAGAGGAAGCTTTTCAAGAAAAGAAACTGGTATTTGCGGCATGGATAGATTTAAGGAAAGCTTTTGACAAGGTTTGAAGAAATTGAGAAAATATAAAGTAAATGGAAGAATGTACAATTGGATTAAAGCATATCTACATAACAGAAGAGCCAGGGTACAGGTAGAAGGTTTCAAAAGTAAAAAAGTTCAACTCGACATGGTGTCCCTCAAGGTGGTGTCCTGTCGCCCACACTTTTCCTCTTATTCATCAACGACTTGGTTGCTGAAATACCAAACGAAATCAAAATGGCAATGTATGCCTACGACCTGGTACTGTGGTGCACCAATGAACATGCAATGATAGCCACAAGAACACTGCAGCGGGCTACATATGCAATTGAGGCATGGGCGAATAGATATTGTGTCGGCATCAATACAGACAAATGCAGCACCACACTTTTCACTCTCTCCCTAAAGCAAAAAGCGGGCATCATCAAAATAAACGGAATACCCCTAAGAGATGATAAAGAGCCCACGTACCTCGGAGTCACATTTGATGACAGGGTGACATGGAGAAAACATATCAACAAGGCAGCAACCAAAGCCAGGAGGAAGACAGCCAATACTAAGAAAACTCAGCGGAACAACATAGGGAACCAGTGGGAAAATACTCAATAAAGTATACAAGCAGAGCATACAACCACACTTGGAATATGGGTCAACTGCATGGTGTTCAGCATCTAGTACCACATTAAAGGAGTTGGACAAAGTGCAAAATCAAGCACTCAGAGTCATCACAGGAAGGATGAAATCAACCCCCATATTAGAAATGGAGAAAGCTAGGAAAACACAGGCACTGAGAGAACGCAGAGACACAAAATTGCAAAACAAGTTGAAAAGTTCCTCAGTATGCCAGATCACCCCATGAAAAATAGATTTCAGAAATTAGCCTTGGGAGTGTTAAAAAGAAGCAGCTTTATACATCAAGCAAAAAGAATATGTAGACAAACTGCTGACCTTCCAGAAATTGGTTGTCCACTTCACAGTATTCCAGAACAAAC